TCCATGTGGGCACCCACCAGCCTGGAAAGTGGTGTTCCTTGTGATGTTCGACTGATTTCTTTTTCCATTCTCCAATGGGGGTTATCTTCTGCTTGCTGATAAGGACCCCAAAGGACGTTTCAGTAGCTGTGTCCTTGACTTTTTTTGGATCGATGTGCACTACTCGAGCATCTTTGTCCCCTGCGTTCACGCCATACAGAAGTACATCTAGGAATTTTGCAGTCCTTGTTTGTGCTATCGAGTTCCTCTCGCTGGCGTCTGCTGGGCCTTGGCAGGTGGTTTGGATCTCGAAGTAGGTGACATGATTCATTGGCCGCGTTTTGTTTTTGGCTATTTGGTTGGGATTGGTGCGAGGTGGCTTGTAGCTAGAGATTGGAGGACGCTCAATGGTTTTTGCGTCTTTGTTCTGAATCCTATCCCATTCAATGTTTTGAACATACAATTGCCAGTTGCTGCCATACCGATACTGTGTTGCCAGCCATAGTTGGCTAATGTTGGTTTCATCAATGGTGCCTGTGTTGCCCATGGGGGTGAAGTCCTTGCCGAAAACTGACGGGTTGGTGATGACCATTCTTGCCACGAAAATCACAAACGGTTTAAATTCTTTGTAGGCGGCCGAATCAGATTCTTTCGTGGGCAGAATCTCTCGTTTCTGTCTGCTCAGGTCGGGGAGGATCTCCTGCCATCGTAGAACGTCAGGGGGTGTTCTTTCCGAGGTGTGTTGTATGAGCAGCTGAATGAACCGTTCGCATTGTTGAATCATGCCCATTTGGTTGTGTTGGTCCTTGTGTATGTTCGCTGTGAAGGGCTCTAGTGTGATCTGTTGTTTCTTGAACTGTTCCTGTAATTTGAACCATTGGGAAGTTGGCGGGTGGTTGAGTTCGAATTGGATTTTAGAATCGACTCCCCCCATTGACACCTTTTTCTTGGTGGTTGCCATGGCGGAACTTGTTGGGGTTTTGCTGGTGATTGATGTGGCTTCGAAAATTTTGCCAGGGCTTCCGCGTAAGGGGCCTGTATTCCTTTTTTACGAGCAAATTGGGAGCTCCCCGCAGGATAGTCACAGATGGTGCTTGATAACTCCGAAAAAAACGCCAGGGCTTCCGCGTAAGGGGCCTGTATTCCTTTTTTACGAGCGTAATTGGGTGCTCCCCGCGTAGCTAGTCACAGTCTGCAGCTTCGTTCCGAGAAAGGGATTGTGCACTGGATGGCTTGCCGACTGGTGGCTTCTGGCGAAGTTTCCGTGTGCTGGCTTCAATCGACAATTTCCAGGGAATCCTCACTCTCTGTGGATGGCTGTCGTGCGATAGGGGTTGCGAGAAACTCTTGTCTTGCCAACCACTCTGCAGGGCCTAGTGCGTCTCCTTGGCGAACACCGAGTTGTGGCGGAGCTTCCTGTGCTAACGCTATCCAGATAGTGAACAGAGTCGTCAAGATGGATAGAGCTAGGGCTAGGAGGAGCTGCAACGTGTCGTCTGGCATCCGGTACGGGACTTGTGCTTCCTTCCGATCGGAGATTAACCTTCGCGTGACCAACCTCCCTAGGCTCCGATGAAACGTGAGCCCAATGAGAGGTTTCGTACAACACGTCGGTCGTTCGCCTTTCAGAGGGAGGTGCAAGCTTGTCGCGACCCGGTGCTGCGATTGGATCGAACGAATCGATTCCGGGACTGGTAACTGGTGACTGGAATGACTTGGTGACCGGGACTCGCGATTCAGGACTCGATTGGTGGATACGAATCGACTCGACAATGGCGCTTTCGGTCGATTGTTGGGCTCAAGAATTTGGAGCGATGCTTTTCCTGTGTTGTTTACTAAGGTCCTTTCTCAATCTCTGATACCCTGCAACTGACTGGAGCCGCCCTTGTGTTGAAACGGGCGAGAACGGTCGATTGACGGTCGAGCGTCGGTGACCGGTCGATTCCTACTGAAAAAGAGTACTCCTGGCTACCGAAGCTGAACCTTCAACTCCTCTCTCTTGCCTGTTACAGCAGAGGTACGGAGGAGTGCTGTCGAGGTGCAGAGGATGCTCTTGAGGTGCGGCAATGGTCGGTTTCGAAAAAGTGTTGATGCTGTTGATGCTCTGTAGAATTCTACGTGGTTTCAGTACTGCGATTTTCAAGTGCGTTTTCATTTTGTGGATCCCGGAAAAGTTCAAAATATGGTTGATCGCTTCCGTGATATCATGCTCTGATCCGGGCACCCTCTTGTGAATGTTTTCCAACTCATCCACTTCTGGCTGTCGTTTTGCGTCTTTTCCACCAAGGAGAGTGGTAATCATTTGGATGTCGTCGACGCTGAGGTTGCTGCTTTCGTGCTTCAGCGAAAAGTGGTTGAAAACAAGCGCCAATTCCGAATGAACTTTCGTGACTTTGTCTTCCGAAAGCGGTCGCTCGCGATTCAGAGCTTCTCGAGCCGCATCTAGAACATCGTAGAGCTCTTGGAGAGACAAACCGTTCGTGCGGCCCACACAGGCGTATTCACCGGGTTCGAGAGAGGGGAAACATGGCGGATACAGAACGCCGTTGGTTCTGTCGATGATGCCAGCAAAGTCACGATAGATAGACTGGCTTTGAGCAAATTGAATATCCTCCCAGAATGATTTCACATCCTGGGAACTGACGCGGAGATTGCCCTTCCCAGGGTGGGAAGCAATCTCGCAGTGGAAAGGATAATTTGCTTCCACCTCGCGCTGTTGGTTCGTAATCTCCGCCCAAGATCGTGCCCGTCTGGTCGGACTCCGCAGTGGGCACTGGATTGTCAAGTGCCCCTCTCCGCATTCTTGGCAAGTGATTGGCATAATTTTGGCTTGTTACCTTTTGGTTTTGTTACCCTGTACCTGGTACTGATGTTGCCTGTTTTATGCGTGTGATTGAACGAACAGGGAAGCCGCTGGCGGTCACTTCCTAGCGTTCGCTGATCTACGTAGCCTAACGGGTAAAATTTCGCAGTGCACGTTTGAAGCGAGCGCGCCAGATCGGGGGTGACCCGTCTTCACTTCCCCCCCCCCAATACATTTTTTCCTGTGTTGACGACATTTAGTTGGCAAAGCGGCCTTCACACCCGGTGATCTGCAATTGGCACCGGGAAGGTTCCAGAACCAACCATTCACCCAAACCTGGGTCGGAACGATCCAGATGCATTTCGAAGACACCGTCTCTTCTGGGCAACACCCATCATCAACAAGACGACAAGAAAGAAAGAAATAATTGAGAACCATGGAGGCAGGCAACAGCAGCGCCGCAACTCACGTCCACCACAGCCCCTGGCAAAGTGTTTGCTTCTCGCACGGAGCTGGCAGATCACTACAAGTCTGATTGGCACAAGTACAATTTGAAGCGCCGAGAGGCTGGGTTGCCACTTTTGCTGGAAGCAGATTTCCAAGCTCGTTTGGCGGCAGCCTTGTCATTGCGACAGGAAGATGTGCGAGATGGAACAAACCATTTGAAAAAGGGAAAGAAGCAGAAACCCAAACAAAAAGAAGAACAAAACATCAGGAGAAGCTGTAGTTGTCAAGTCGCAAGCTGCTGCCTACGACAAGATCAAGGAAGATGACACGACCAAGGACGAGGAAGAAAAATTCGACAACAAAGATCAAGTCATGAAGAGGCAAACAGAAAGCAAAGGAAGGAAGAAAGAAGAGGAAGAAGACGAAGCCGTCATGATTGACCCCAAGCAATGTTTGTTTGATCGCCATCTCTCTGCTACCGTGGAAGCAAATGCAGACCGAATGTACCGAAAATATGGCTTGTTCATTCCTGACCGAGAATATCTGACTGATTTGGAAGGATTGATTGGGTATTGCCATGAAAAGATCAAATTGGGACACATGTGGTAGGTTCGCTGCAGAAAGAGGAATTTATTCGGCGGTGAGCGAGTGTGCTGAAAATATTGTGACATCAATGCTAACAAGTGTTCTTTTTGTCTTGTTCCTTTGCAGCTTGTATTGCCATAAAGTATTCCCAACGTGGCAGGGATGTCAGAAGCACATGATCAGCAAAAGTCACACCAAACTCAAGTATGAAGCTGGTATCGATTTGGAAGATTTGGGTGTGTTCTATGATTTCAGTACAGCCGACAATGAATTCCTGCGGTCGATTGGAGGACAACCAAAACTCAACAACAAGGATGGTGATGACACTAATGATGTTGAAATTGTGGAAGATGATGGAAATGATGACGATTGGGAAGATATTTCCGAAGACGACAATGACATGGATGCAGAAGATGAAGTCGACGAGGAAGACGACTATGATGAAGAGTACGAAGAACAATTGGCTCAGTTTGGCTTTGATGTCACTGACTTGGGAGAATTGGTACTGCCCAATGGTCGCATCGTTGGCCATAGAGCCTTATCGCGATACTATCGTCAACGTGTACAAACTCGCAACAACAGCACTGCTGTCGTCGGCAGCCGGGGGGGGGGGGGGCGGGGGGGGGGGTGGGGGGGGGGGCAGTGCAGCAGGCGAACGAATCTGGAACGGACAAGTTGTCAATCTACACGGTGCAGAGGAAAACACTTTGGCTTTGACCAAAGCTGGCATCAGTCCTGCGGTTGCTGCTGGACGTGCCGGAAAGGGTATCTTGGTGGAGGGATCTGGAGGCGTGTACACCTCACTCTCGATTTATCGCTTCCGAGCATCCA